CAGATTTTTACCCAAACTAATCAAATCTGCGCATTAGTTCAGAGCATCCATGTGCCAAGTTTCATTGAAATCCAATGAGTGGTTCTCAAAAATCAGTGGAACAGTCATGGAACAGCTTGAAATCAGTTAATTATCATTCAAATTAGATAATTAATATTCATAGATTTTTACCCAAAACTAATCAAATCTGCGCACTAGTTCAGAGCATCCATGTGCCAAGTTTCATCAAAATCCAATGAGTGGTTCTTCAGATATCAGTGGAACAGTCTTGGAAGAGCTAAAAATCAGCTAATTATCATGCAAATTAGGTAATTAATATTCATAGATTTTTACCAAAACCTAATCAACTCTGCGCATTATCCTAGAGCATCTATGTACCAAGTTTCACAAAAATTTGATTAGTGGTTCTTGAGATAACGGTGGAACAAAAAAAGTGACATACATACATACATACATACAGACATACAGACAGGGTAACTGCAAAGACTCCCTTTTGTGCTTCGCACACGGGAGTCAAAAAACCACCACAAAGACTAAACTCAGACACAAAAAGAGCAACGGACCCACAGCTAAATCAAACTGTTACACTTGTTAAAACACGGTACGTCTCATCCTGGAGGATGTGGTGGCCCTAAAAAGGGCAGTTTTGTACAGTTTCTGAGCTAAACGAAAAGATATCTTGTTGCACTGAAGAATGATCTAGTGTCAGCTTGTGTAATTTCCTCAATGGCAGAGTATATAGAACACAAAAAATTTTCGAAGCTGATTAAAAGACAACAGTGGTCACTCTAAACACCTTTTTTCCCTGGACTATTTCAAACACACAAATGCTTTTCACAACAGTGACGACTGTACAGAATTTAGTTATCGGTAGATTTCGAATCGTTGCCATCCAAATCTTGTTTTTATACAAACGATTCGTCACATTCCGGGTTTGTTCGGCACAAATGAGATCACAGTTGTCTCATTAACCTTTTCGTCGCCGATTGTTTTTAAAATGTAGCCAGTTTGTTGTTACACTCAAGAAGCAATCGACGGCACCATCAATAAAACAAACCGATCGTTCTAAACTAATTTCACGCAATTATGCGCTTCGTTGTAATATATTCGCATTATATAAATTTGAATACCAGTATTCAGGAAAAGTCAAACAATGATCAAAGACCTAGTTTTATGATGAGATAAAGTGGTCATTTTAACATGGTCATTTCAAGACCATTACAAGATCAACTGAAATGCATACAACATCTAAAATGTACAATGTATGTGGGAAATATGATTGAGACCAGCTCAGGCATATCTAAGATACAAGTGCGGACAAGTTCCCATTTTCAGACTTCATCCAACCGAAATTATCTACATGTAACTTAATTTGCTAATTATTATGCATGGAATTGAGCCATAAGTAATCAGGTTTGTGGATTATCCATTAGAACCTATAGACCAAGTTTCATTTCAAACTGTAGTTTTCGCAAGATTAGGAATTCTGAGGGCATTTCAGATTATGGACATGCTGTCTCACTGTCATTTCCATCTACTTTTATTAACTAAAACAGTAACATTGCCAGCTATGTTGGCGACTCATTTGCTATGCATGCCTTGCCTGCATTGAAAATAGAGCAAACTTATTTGCAACGCAGCAGTGACCCAAGTGTCTAGAAGTTATTACATACATTTTGTTTAATTTGATAACTTTTCCGTAATTGAATGAAATAAATTTAACAAGAAAAGTAATTCTATTCTATTGGTTTGACCTAACATGTTTAAATCTCGTAATGATCTCAAGACTCATTAAAAACCAGTCAGCAACTTAGTTGGTAATGTTGCAGTTTCAGTATATGAAATATTATGGCGGTGACAGTAAAAATCATAATATGTTCACTACAACATAATCTCATGTTTTTTGTCGACTTTGTCACTCATGAAAATGGAGTACTGCTTAATAGTAGAATTACAACCACTGCTTACAGATGGTTAGACAAATGAGTACACCTTTATTTATATTATAATATTAAACTGAATTTAATTTGTTTCATACAACTTTTCAAAATTACACACAGAAGCCAAACTAGAGTTTCTACTGGAACCCAAAGAAAAGAGTAATTATAATGACAGTTTTAGGTGAAACAGGTGGTACAAGAGTCCAGCAATCACACAGCAAATGAAGTTGGCTATTCATAGTCAATCCTCTTCATCTGTTATATCAGTTGCCATCTTCAATCATCCACCTCGTGCCAAGTACAGCGTCCAGAGAAAACTAATCACAGTCCAGTCACCATATTATGACCTCTTCTTATATTCTTCTATGTGTGTCAGGATCCATGCAGGACCAGTCACCAGGCCAAAGAATATAACTGTGAAAGCTATGACGCCCTCCTATTGAAAATACAAAACAAGGATAGAATAAATATTTATTAGAAGAACGATATACAGTAGCCCCTCGCTAACTCGAGCCTCAATAACTCGCGGTCCCGGTTAATTCGTGGCTATCACCATGGCTCCCAAAATCATAGTACATACATGTATGTACATGTATTGTTTTTGATGTCCATTTTTTTTCTTTGTGCGCGAGTCTGTTTGTTTTTATTCATAAATGTGCGAAGTTTTAAACACCGACACCCGCGACTTAGCGAGGGGCCACTGTATTAAGTTTCAGTGGATGTTTTACATACATTAATGAATCTTTCTGCAATGTTTGTTGCGCCTCAAGCTACTTTGGAGTGTAACTGCATTGTTATATAACACTATACTATATAGGTAGAGTTAAAAACGAAAATGTTTGACAGCATCCCCTAGCGGTTTGCTATCAAACGATCTCTTTCTCATGAGAATTTTATAGCGTTAGCTAACAAAGAAAATTGACAAAATTCTGTAAAATGTTGTGCTACTGAGCATACCCCAGTAAATCGGCTCCATCTTTCTGGTGAACCATTTTTGAGTGACATTCATTCATACTATGACCACAGGCGCACGTTACGTTTTTTGGATAATAAAAAGTACCTTAAGTAGGATTGGAGGTCAGGATAAGGATAAGTCAGTCGTCGGTCCCTTTTTATTATCCAAGAAACGTACCGAGCATCACAAACACATGAAGGATACCCACTAATGCATTGTGGGATGTTTGAAAGGTAATAAAACCAATTTAATACACAAGCGCGTTTTTCTCCTGTGTCTTATTTAAACCTGTTAAACGAAACCACGTAAATGCTTTTAGTGCAAAAGACTGTAAACAAGAAATGGCATTATTATAATTAGACAGTCTTGAATTTTAGTCAAATCCACATGCGTCGGCAACATTTCGCCGGTTACAGCGACAGTTTAGCAGCGACTGTACGACTTAAAAACACGTACCGGAGTGGATAGTTTCACTTTTGCTGGCCCACCTAGAACTGTGCGGCGTTGAATTGCCTGGCTCTGATTCCGTAACATCGGAACAGATCTCTGAAATAAACCACGAATTACTCCGGACATTGTGTCAACTCAACTTTGTGCTCAAAATACAAGATGGCGTCCGCTCTGTCCGTCTGCACGTATCACGTCAACTACCCCTACAAAAAGAGTGGTATCGACACGGGCTATTCAACGAGAGATCCGGGAACTTGGAATTTGACTTTCAAGTGAATACACTTTAGTAAATATAGATCACTGGCTGACATGTAATCTGTTTTATTATATGTAAAACCAAGTATATTGTAATAACACGTAAATATCCATGAAATAGCAGACGAACGTATTGCTTCTGAAATGGTTTCAGCCACTTCCGGTGATTATTGGGTCGAGTCGGGTAATCGGACTTCATCGACCAAACCGAGTGTGGACGACAATAGCCGAAGATAGCTGCGGCAAAATAATGGATACGAGTTTCTTACTCAACTCAAGCTATGTACTGACCTAGGATTGCTAGTGCTATCGGTCACAATTTTCACGGTATGTAAAGGATTATTAACAATTCCAGTTACATGGTTTTTCCATATACTACACTGTCTACCGTAGACAAACAAAGGGCGTCGACCAAGGTAACAATTCGGCGTTCTGGCGAAGGATCGACTGAATCTGACACTGCCCATGCCCCGTTTCAGGACGATCACCTGGTCGAAATTCGCGAGTAGTTCCGTCCACTTCTTTCTGGCTCTTTCCTGTTAACGTGATCACTTTTAATTCACCTTTATAAATAGGAACAACATCAACTTCCAAATAATACAAGCTCACGATCACAAGATGTTTGAACCGTTTGTTTGTTGTCATTGTCGCTTTCAAAGTTTTACGGCGTCTGATCGATGACCGAGTTGCCATTGCACCCATTGAAGTGAGTCGCCATGTTGTTGTTCGGTAATCTGGCGGTCCATCGTTATTTTAAACCGTACCACCATACGACTGCAAATAGCGCGTCTTCTGACTTTTAGTTAGTTGTAACTAGAGTATCACATATTTTGCGGTCGAGTGCAATCCGCTCATTTCAGTAACTCATATTTAATTGTAACTCAAGGTTAGACTGACAAGCTTACATATACAAACCATGTGACGATCTCATCCAACTTTTCAACAAAATTTCTGGGTGAATTTGCCGTATGGTTCTAAGGTGCTCTTTTTGCAGTAAATTACGTTGTGTTTACGTGTAAACATAAACGTCCATAGAAATGCACGTACGTGGGAATATATTCCAAAAGGTGCCACCTAGTCTCACTAATCGCAAATTATTTGGCCTTGATTTACAAATTGACAACAAGTCAATTTTGTACTGTTACATTAACTTGAAAACACACACGTCCATGTAACAATAACATATATTTAAAGTAAGGATTTTAAATCTTTGATGTCTGATAACTTTAACATGAGAGTACTTTTGACTTTTTTAGTCAGAGTATGGAGCTCCATGGATAAGGGTCAATACACCTCTGCCATGGGTTGGTGTGTTTGAATAATCTTTATATGCCAACCAGTAAAACCTTGGTGTATGTTTGTCATGTGCCTATAATGAATTTCATTCCATATTTTGATGTTCACTAACACCTATCGTACCTTCTGGCTTCTTCTTCCTAGTAAACAGTTAGAAATTTTCATGAATTACGGATTTTATGGCTTTTCTTAGGCAATATTTCGCTAAAGTCACTGACAGTCTTTGGTGTGGGACCACAGAGAAATTTTCTCCGCTATAGAATTTTGTGACTTTCACTAATTCACAAAGATTTGTCTCTCTTGAAATTTAATCGCTTTACTCTATTATCTACATGCTTAATTACTACATGTGTGTATTGATAGACCTTGGAATACAATGACACACAACCGTAAAACTGTTAAAATATTTAATACAATTAAACTCGATGCAGGAGAGTTGTCACACTTTTGCTGTGTGAACTTTTCAATTCTATTATGATTAATTGTAGAAACTGAACCAAATTTAAATTCTTGTGTCTTCGTCAAATTCATTCATATGTTTTGTTTTGCTTCTAAATCTTGTTTTTTTTAATCCAATAATATCTGAGAGAACCACAAGACCAGCAAATTTTCAGTTTAATTTGAATAAAATTATTCTTTGAAGATTCAAAGTCTGCAGCTGATTATGCCTCGTTTGTTTCATGTATTCATTGGGATGTCTGATCATTTTATGATTTTTTGCATCTTATATTACTGTAGAATACTTTATGTTCGCTTGGAATTTATTTTCGCTATTTTCGCTGAAGGGATGATTCAGTGAAAATAAAATCCAGCGAATATACATTTTTTCCTATATTTTACATTAATCTCATCAAAAATCAGTGAAAATAAATTCTAAGCAAAACGCCCAAAATACCTTTTCAGCGAAAATTAATGCCAGCGAAAATAAAGTATTCCACAGTACATTGCATGTTCCTGTTTTCTTTTCAATCTTGCCTGTGTTTTGTATTCCAAATTTTCTGTTTGTTTTTTGTTTAATTAATTATTTTTAGCCAGGTGACAGTTTTGAACATTAAATGTCTCCTGACTTGCTTTATGTTCAAATTGCAAGTTCAAGAAGCTGACATATGATGCATTTTGCCACAAAAACCATATTTATCTCAAATACTAGTAGTAATTCAAAGCACTATTTTGGTGTCGACCAAGCTTGGTCGAAGATGATTACCTGCGGACATCAACCATCAAAGTTGCATCCGTTAGTGAATGAATCTCGACCAGTATTTTTAGCTTTCCCATTGAGTCTGTACCACACTCACCGGGGAAAGGGTCAGGCATTTGAACTCTGGTTTACTGATCACAAGTCAGTGAAGTCTGATGCAACAACCACTATGCTACCAGTGTTTGCAACTGAACATTTCAATTTGTCACGTACGAATCCATGTTGAAATATTGCTATCACGTTTAGAAATATCACTGTGTACACCTTTACTATTCATTAATGAATATGCTGATTTTGCATCGAATGCTATATCGGTAACTAGTTTTTGGTATTAGACTGTCCTTTGACCCCCAGATGTTTCATTTACATTAGTTGGACCCACCAAGCTGACAGGATGTTAAATACAACAAACAGGATATCGCTAAATGAAACTCAACATATATAATTTTGTCATAAAATAAAAAAAATATATAGTAAGAAACATTCTACGAAGAAAACAGGATTCTTACAGTTTGTAGTCTTTCATGTTAATGAAAATTTTGTGGTGCTTGTTGTACATTTGAATTATCCTCATGTTCTGCAAGTTTAGGGTTAGGGTCTTTGAAGCTTCTCAGTTCCACAAAGTCCTGACTGCCAATTGATTGATTGATGTTGGTAGTTTCATTCATTGAAATGTACAAGGTAAATTGGACACTTAGTAGCTACAGTAATTGACGTGCATGTAAAATCTGTTGATGATATGATCCTATCAAGAACTACCGGTATGTGGTTTTTGTGATTGTATACCTTTTTGCTTTTTAAAATAGATTTCTTGTGGAATCCTGCTAATCAACTTGTCTAACCAAACCTATCTATAAACATTCTTCATGTGATCGTTTTGTATATATATTCACTCTGTATTCCAAAAAATTGCTCTATTATTCCTCATGGAAAATTGAACCGAATTGCATTTTAAATAGCATACGGAACAAGTTTTAATTATGTTTGGATTTCACCCTGGCCTGTAGTAACAAATGACATATTTTAACAGCCGCTACCAAAGAAATTGTGTTACTTTCTCAGACAGCTTGTTAATCTGATCATTTTGACATAATGTTGGCACTAGCCTGGAGTGCATATTTGTATTTACTTTACACTACTTTAAATAAAATCAAAGAGACAAACTGTCTACCTTAAATGAATTTATGCCAAAATTGGCTTATCTAGATCACACATGTCAGATCATCAGTGATTAATGTCCGAGACCACCATTAATACTTTTGATATTATTGCCCTGATATGAAGTATGATGTGTAAGTACTTGGGATTGTGGACTTATTTCAGTACAACACAGTATGTGTTTTGTGATAATATTCAGTAATAAGTTTTTCTGTTTAGCACTTTTATGGTTTCAACTGGAATCTTGTCTAAATAGCCCCATGCTTTCTTGATGATATTTCCAATACTACCATATTCACTCTATTAGATGCACAGGTTTTTTTTCTAAACTGGGGCACAGCGCGTTTCCAGGACGATTCCCCTGTGTATGCTCCCTTCTTGTTCATTTTTTCTAGAAAAACCCCTGGAAGCACATGTGAAAAATCAATTGCATTAACTGTATATTGGATCATTCAAGTATTTCATCCATTGGCCATGGACATAGAACTTACACTCACATAAGTGCATAAGTTACTAATAGAGCAACTACAGGTACCGGGTAGTTGAATTTTGCAATTCATAATGTATCCCAATTCACATGCTGAGTGATGAATGCAAAGATGTTGTACAATTTTCAACTTATCTGGAATTAATTGATTCTATATAATGATACATGATTCTTTTTGAGAGAAGTCAGAGTTTGAATACTAATTTCTTAAATTTACATCTCAAATGATTAGTGAAATTTTGCTAAAAGGGCGATTAAAAACTTTGCTGCATACTCAGGGCTTGATGTTAATGTTAAAACTCACTTAGTGCCCATAGTGTACATGTATGTAATGTTGCCTGTCTATAAACTATTAAGGCAAGTGAGTTTTAATTCAATTGCCAGAATGGCAATTTTACTTTTCCTTAGCATCAAGCCCCGATACATGTGTTTTTTTCTCCATGATTAAACAAGTGGCTTCTGCAGCCTTGTCCTGGACCTGAATAGTGCTCTCTGCCATCAGTATCACTCAACAGTAGCAAATTACGGTACAGCTGCTGCAGTGTCTGTGCATAAATAGACATGTGTCAATAGAGAAATATCACCTTGCTTATTTATGTGTGGTCTATGGAGTATTAGTTGTTCAATTGGATGCACCAGTAGTTATACTGATAATTAATAATGCATTAATGTTATAAATAGTACATTAAATGTGTGTCCACTGTGTACATGCGTTTATTCCAGAGCTTAGAAGTTACAGCCATTCTTGACCAAGTTTCTGCTGTCAAGTAGAAGTCAACTATGGTTTTTGTTTATAGACGTTGTACATGATGCATTTTTGAATTGTAAAATGTTTGTATCTAAATCTCAAATTATTACTAGTAACCAATGTGTTATTGAATTAAATGAAGCCATAACTATATATGAATTGTGGTGATCCCTTGATGCATCTACAGGGATTTTCCCTGCATGCACAGTGTGCATGTTGAAGTTGAAATTTACCTGCATTAACTTATTGTTTTAAAGTTTTAATAGCATTTACGGGTTATCGATTGATGCAATCACGAAAGAATTTGCTTTTTTTTTAGTTGTCTTACAATATTGGTTGAACTTAATTAATTTCTACATGCACAGTGTGCACATTATATTTTGAGTTTTCTTGCACTAGGTAATCATCTATGTGCATAGTGCAGTGTGCACAAGGGCATTTCGACCCCTGATCTAACTACATATATGCACAGTTTTCCTCTTGTAACGCACAAAGACTGATGACATCACTGTATTGAAACACAGTAAACGATGACATCATGAAACAAGAGGAATAACATCCTTTGCACTGAACCACAAAGGATGATGACAACACTTGCTCTAAAACACACTTGCCCTAGAATATAAATATTATCATTTGATGATGTCCTTTGCACTGACACATAACGGTGACAGCACATGCCTGAAAGGCAAAGAATGCTTAATTTAATGCTTGCTCTATACATTATCAACATAGAACTAATCTAGCTAGCAGTCACATAAATGAGATGCATCGTGGGGCAACCACAGTGCATCATGGGAGTACCACACAATTCTCATA